GTTGGGAGTTACTTTCTTAACTTATATGTGAAAAATATCTCAGTGAGTTGTTAGACTCTTTTGGCCTTGCAGACCCTGGGAAAGTCCTTTTAAATATGCTCCCTCACTGATTCCCAGGACTTCCCAAGTCTTGAAAATCGATTTCTATTCATTCTTCATGGAGTTTATTGTTCAAATATTATTGGAAATATTTTTAAAAATTACAATCATGCAAAGTGACTGATCCATTATCTTTTACTCATAACATAGCAATAATCTCCCAAAGTAGATAATTATATCATTATTTGCAACATGATCTTTGAATAGAGCAGGTGCAGTTAGAAGAGGGCACAGACTAGTTAACAGCAAACGATCTGCTCAGGGATTGACATTAAAAGAAAAAAATGCCTACTTCATAAATATTACCACCTGCAGATAATCAGAAAAATGTACCTAACTGCATCCATTATGCTCTATTTCTCTTCTGGTACTCAAATTATTTCTTCTGTAATGAAAAAAATTCACATTGAAAAATTTGTTTTGGTTATATAACCAATCTAAACACAAAATCTTATGTATTAGCATTAATGTGAAATTACATATTGTTTTGTTTTCATGCTAGCCAAAATCAAATAGATTAATAACTATTAGGATATATTCTTTTAAAAGCCTCAGTAAAAATACCCAAAGGCTATATTTTAATGCAGGTAATAAAATATTTTTCTCTCTAGAAATCTAAAAACCAGAAAGGATTACATAAAACTTTGAAATTGAAATCTTCTGTTATAATGGAAAATGGTGTATATTAACTCTCAACTACCATGAGAGAAAGAGGATTTTTCTGTATTTCTGCAACGAAAAAAGCATTTGCTCAGGGTTCAAAAAATGAGACCTAAGTGGTGTTAATGATTCTAAAAGCAACTGAATAAAACCATTTTTCTCTAGTTTTCATAGTTCAATGTCTAAGGAAGTTCTAAATGTGACTGTGAAAATTGGCTTATGTTTTCTGACCCTACTTTAAAAAAGTAAACATTATTTTTAGTGTAGTTTTAGGTACACAGAAAAATAGATGGAAAGTATAGTGAGTACTCATATTGCCCCTCTCCCTACACACACACAACCTCCCCTACTATGAAACCCGAATCACAGTGATACATTTTTACAACGAATGAACCTACATTTACACATCACTATGTCTCCAAATCCATTGTTTACATTAGGATTATTGCTTGGTGTTGTACATTCCATGGCTTTTGACAAATGTATAATGACATATGCCCATCATTGTAATATTATAAAGAATAGCTTCACTGCCCTAAAAATTCTCTGTGCTTTACCTGTTCATTTTTCCCTCCTGTCTAATCTGTGGCAACCTGACCTTTTGTCTCCATTATTTTGCCCGTTTGAGACTGGCATTATAGTTGGAGTTACACTATGCAGCTTTTTTTAGAGTAGTTTATTCAATGTAATATGTGTTTCAGTTTCCTCAATGTCTTTTCATGACCTGATATTTCTTTCCATTTTAGCACTGAAATAATGTCCCATTATCTGGACATACCACAGTGTATTTATTCATTCGCCTTCTGAAGAATATCTTGGTTGCTTCCAAATTTGGGCAATTATGAATGAATCTGCTATAAACATTCATGTGCAGGTTTTTGTGTGTACACAAAGTTTTCAGTTCATTTGGGTAAGTACCAAGGAGCACAATTGCTGGATCATATGGTAAGAGTATGTTCACTTTTATAAGAAACCACCAATCTGTCTTCCAAAGTACTGTATCATTTTGCATTCCCATCAGCAATGAATGGATTTCCTGTATTTCCACATCTTCACCAGCATTTGGTGTTGTCAGTGTTTTGGATTTTAGCTATTCTAATAGGTGTGCAATGGCATTGAATAGATGTGCCATGGTATTGTTATAATTTGCAATTCTCTAATGACATATGATGTTAAACATCTTTTCACATGCTTCCTTGTCATATGTATATTTTCTTTGGTGAAATGTCTGTTTAGGTCATTCTTGCCCATTTTTTAATTTGCTCATTTGAAACTAATGGCAAAAGTCATAATATTTTTGCACCAACCTAGTAATTGCATCGTCCATTTTCCCTGTTGTTGAGTTTTAAGAGTTCATTATATATTTTAATAACAATTCTTTATCAAATGCATCATTTGCATATATTTTCTTCCAGTCTATAGTTTGTCATCTCATGATCTTGACATTGTTTTTCACAGAGCCAAAGGTTTAATTTTAATGAAGCCCAACTTACTGATAATCTATTTCATGGATCATGCCTTCAATGTTGTAACTAAAAAGTCATCACCATACCCCAGGCCATCTAGGTTTTTTCTTGTGTAATCTAAGAGTTTTATAGTTTTGCATTTTATACTTAGGTCTATAATAAATTTTGAGTTAATTTTTGTGAAAGGTGTAAGATCTATGACTAGATTCATTTTTCTTTTTTGCATGTGGATAACTAGTTGTTCCAGTACCATTTATTGAAATAACTATCCACTTATGTGAGTCTATTTCTGGACTCTGTAATCTGTTTCACTGATCTATTTATCTATTCTTCCATTAATTTCACACTGTCTTGATTACTGTAGCCTTATAGCAAGTTTCAAACTGGAATAGTATCAAACCTCCAACTTTGTTTATCTTCAATATTGTGTTGGCTATCCTGGGTCTTTTGCCTCTCCATATAAACTTTAGAACAAGTTTATCAATATCCACAAAATAACTTGCTGGAACTTGGGTTAAGGCTGCATTGAATCTATTGATCAAGTTGGGAAGAATTGACATCTTGACAATACTGAGTCTTCCAATCTGTGAACATGGAGTATCTCTCCATTTATTTAGTTCTTCTTTGATATATGTTATCAGTGATTTTTAGTTTTACTCACATAGATCTCATACAAATTTTGTTAGATTTATATCTAAGTATTTTATTTTTGGGAGGTGCTAATTTAAGTGGTAATGTGTTTTTAACTTTCAGTTTCACTTGTTTATTGCTGGCATACAAGAAGGTGATTGATTTTTGCATGCTGACCTTGTAGCCTCATTAAAATCACTTATTAGTTCAATTTTTTACAGATTTGTTCGAATTTCTTACATAGATGATTATGTCATCAGTGAACAAAGACAGTTTTATTTCTTCCTTCTCAATCTGTAAACATTTTGTTTCCTTTTCTTGTCTCATTGTATTAGCTAAGACATCTAGTACAATGATGAAAAAGAGTGAGAGAAGAAATTCTTGCCTTGTTCTTGATTTTAGTGAGAAAATGTCTAGTTTCTCACCATCAAATATATTCACTGTGAGTTTTTATGTATGTGGCCTTATCGATTTTAGGGAGTTCTCTCTAATTCTTAGTTTGCTGAAAGTTTTTATTATGCCTGAATGCTGGATTTTCTCAAATGCTTTTCTGTGCCTATTGATATGGTCATATGGTCATTAAGATTGCATTGAATCTATTGATCAAGTTGGGTATAATTGATATCTTGACAATACTGAGTCTTCCAATCTGTGAATATGGAATATCTCTCCATTTATTTAGTTCTTTTTTGATATATGTTATCAGAGCTTTTTAGTTGTACTCATATAGATCTCATACAAATTTTGTTAGATTTAAATTTAAGTATTTTATTTTTGGGAAGTGCTAATTTAAGTGGTAATGTGTTTTTAAATTCCAATTTCACTTGTTTATTGTTTTGAGTTTTCTTTTTTAGTCTGTTTATGTGATAAATTACATTAATTCATTTTTTTATATTAGCCAACTTTGCCTAACTGACAAAAGCCCCACTTGGTCATGTGTATAATTCCTTTTATACATTGTTGGATTGAGGCTGCTGCTATGTTGTTGAAGATTTCTGTATCTATGTTCATGAGAGATATTGGTCTGTAGTTTTCTTTTCTTGTAGTATCTGTGATTTTGGTGTTAGAGTCATGTTGGACTCATAGAATGAGTTAAGAAGTATCCCTTCAGTTTCTATCCTCTGAAAGAGACAGTTGAGAATTAATACAATTTCTTCTTAAATTTTGGGTAAAATTCACCAGTGAGTCCACTTGGGCCTGGTGCTTTCTATTCTGGAAGGCTATGAATCATTAATTCTATTTATTTACTTTTTATTTAGTTTTAATATATAATAATGATACATATTTATGGTATACAGTGTTATGCTTTGGTTTAGGTATCAGTGTATAATGATCAAATCAGTATAATTGGCATATCATTTCAGTTCAATATATTTAATAGATATAGGCCTATTTAAGTTGTCTATGTCTTTTTATGTGAGTTTTAATAGGTTGTGTCTTTCAAGGAATTGGTTCATTTCATTAAGGTTATCAAATGTGTGGGTACAGAGTTGTTCATAGTATTTTTTGATTATTCATTCAATAACCATGGAACCTATAGTGATTTCCCCTTTTTCATTTGTGATAGTAGTAAGTTGTGCCCACTCTCTTTCTTAGTTAGCCTGTATAGAGGCTTATCAATTTTTGTTTGTTTGTTTTTGAAGGGAAGAGCACTATTTATTAGGCTGTGAGTTTCTCTGTTTTGCCTTTATAGAGGCACAACGGGTCACTGAAAGTATAACTGAAGGAAATAGAACAGATGAGCCTAAACACAAGACTTTCTAGGTGCAGGGCTGGTACATGGGACCCCAGCAAGGCAGCTGGGCCACTCATGCCCACTAGGGACAGCCCAGAGACCTTGAGCCAGGGACCCAAGTTCCACTAACCAATTCTCCCACATTGCACTGACAGTTGCCTTGCACTGTGGTTACCATAAAATAACTCTTACTGGCATTTAAGCTTTATAAAAAAACATCTTCATTTTGCTCAAAAGGGGCAAACAATAGATACAGAGAAGCTAAACTGAACAGCCTCAATAAAATAAAATTAACACCAGCAGCGAATCTTCTTGCTGAAGACTTTGGCCAGAGGGCATGTGTAGCAAAGTTCTAGGCTGTGAAGGTTCACTCACACACTGTTCTCGCCTTGAACACACCAGTCTGGAAATCAGTTATGGATTTTAATGACCTTTTCAAGGTCAGTGTAGCAATGACTCTTTGGGGCTTTGTTGAAGTGACTGAGCCTTAGTCAAGGCATGAAGATAAGACATGTTAATGGGTTATGACTCAAAGTCTTTCACATTTACTTCATGCTCATCTTTATTTATGTACTGGCATTGGCCCGTCACTCCAACTGCAGATTTAAACTTCTCAGACTCCTTCTCCCGGATGTCCAGCAGGCTCTGGATTCGCTTCATCACTTCTTGAAAATGTTCGCATTGGTGTATCCTCAGCAAAAATGGGATTCCAAACATTCCAAAGACCTCTTTGTGGAAATGTGCCACTGTGACAAGCATCTCCTTCTCTTTGTCTATGTCCATCTGGTCCAAAGGGATTTTTTTATTTGAAACGTCCTCTCGTTGCAGGAGATAAACATTCTAACAGTTCATCTTCTTGATGGACACCAATGATTTTGTAACTTACGATTTCTAGCAGGCTAAGTTTCCCTGATGCCTTCTCCCCAGGTTCCACAGCCTTTTTACATTCTTCTAACAGTTCCTGGACATAGGATATTCTTCTAACAGGTCCTGGTCCTGCTTGTCTGGATATAGCATTATTTCTTCTTCCCTAAATTGGCTGTTTAACCATATACATTTAAAACTTTGCCAGTTCTCAAAGTCTGTGATTTTCATCTTAAGCTGCTGATAGTAAAGTTTCTTAGGTTGTCTAGCCTTGAAGAATTATAGAAGATCTCTTAAAGTACCTTCATAATTATGTCTAAGGGAGGCCATCCCTATTACCTTGAAACTTGAAAAACTGGAGCAACATTGGGTCTGTTTGGTGTCTCTGCGCAACTGTCTGTGCAACCTGAAAATAATTCATTCTATTTGATAATGTAACCACAAATCCAGGATCATTAGGGATTGTTTTATCACAGAAAATGACATCAACATGGTAGTAGAGATCTCGGAAATATTCCTTTGTGGTGGGTAATTCACTGTTATCATTTTCAGGGTCACTCTTCTGAAATACTATGATGTCACCATCCATTTGTTCATCAAGGGCTTTATCAAGAGACATGTGATAGTCCTGAATTCTCTCTGTTAAATTCTGTTTAACTTCCTTATAGAGAATAAGGCTAGTATCTTGAATAAATCCTGCTCTGTCACACATAACTGGGAGCAAGTCATGCATTTTACAGGATATTGGTGTGTTGATATGCCCACAGTACTTAAAGCTCCATGTTTTGGGATCATACATCTTCAAAAATAACATTACATCATGATCTTTATCAAACTTGGGTAAAGTCACTCCACTAGCAGCCAGCTCAGGTTTGACTGTTTCCAGGAATGTTGTCCAAGTTATCACTGAGCTCAATCATTGTTTTACTGCCACTGGCTTCATTATCTAACATTGCTGGCAATTTTGTTCCATTACTCCTTGCTTGCATGAGCCACAATCAAATTTGATCTTGTGGAAATCCCATGGTCTGAGAGAGGTTCTGAACAAACTCGGCAGTTGAGGAGTTCTTCAATACTTTGAACCCTTTGTATTTCACTTTTTCTTCATCGTACATGTCATTTCCTTGGTGGCCACAAAACTGGTCCTCTGTGACTATCTGCACTTGCATATAGAGATGGGCTTCCTGCCGCTCCTTCTGCTTCTGAGCCTTGATCCTTTTCTCTTCTTGTAATTGATCCACCAACTGTTCAGGAATATCATGGTCAGTGACCGCCTGTAAAACTTCACTCAGTTTTGATTCCCTGATATAGACTAACATGTAAGCATTAGTGTAGTGTCAGACAGACAGGTCATCATCATGACCCCCATAATTGTGCTCAACTGCTTCCTCTTTAGTACACCCTGACACTACATCATCATCAAATTTACACCATTTGCCATCCCCTTTGGGGTTTGGATAAACCACATGATGTCCACCATGATTATCTCCACTATGAACCAGGACTGCATGAAGAATATAATTTGCAGGGTCCTTAGGATCTGCTTTTTGAAAAAATTCGTCACGTGGTAAATGCTCTGGGAATTCAAACTTATCATTGATCTTGATATTTTGGTCCATCTGAGGGTCATACATAAACCCCATCAGTTATAGATGTAACACTGGTGGCAGTGTTAGGAATTTCACACCTTCTTCTGCTTCCTGTAAGCCATGTTCCCCAGTGTCATATTGTCCCCAGTGAGCTGTTCTACTGCCACATAATCCACAAATGAATCAAATATGTTTTTCTGTCCTTTGATACTTTGATGGATATCATAATAATCTTCTCTTCTATCAGACTGATAGTCCACTTCTTTACACTAGATATAGGACACCATTTTACCACGGATAATCTGGGTATGGTGCCCTCTACACAGGTGCCTTTCATCTTATGTTCCACATTATGAAGCAACACTTGACAAAGCTCCTGAACATTGTGTTGCATGAAGTGTCTAAAGTTTCCCACCCAAATGACTTTGCTAACTTTTTTGTTCCTATGGGTTTATCACTATGCTATAATTCATAGATTACTCTTTGTAATGCTAAAGGGACGTTTTTAGATGAATCATACCCCTTGCTTGGTACCATGTACATAGCCTTTCCTAGCTGATTTGTGAAAAATAAAGTCGGTAGAAAGCTGTTCATATAACAAGTTGCTCCCTGATTCTTTAAGCCCACATAGCCTGTGTGCTGCTTTGAATCCCAGGCAACTCCGTGGGGAGCATCGCCTGTACAAAGACTTCAAAGGTAACTTTGTCATCATCTATAAATCCTTTCTCAGGATCAGTCACTTCACTCCAGGCCATAAAATCAGAAAATCCCCAGTCGTTTTCTTTATGGAAGAACAAATGACTAATATGATGACTGAACGATTTTTCATCATCTCTAATTTATTATCTTCAGCACTGCTTGTGCATGACAAGACCACGACGTGGAATCAGATTCAGCATTGCACTGGAGAAAGAATCCTACGCTTTTTTGGTGTGGTCTGTCTGGATAAAAGCGTGGCATCAGCATAATTTTCCATGGCAGATTTAGGACCAACTCACCCAGTCTGCTGAAGCCCTCCACAGTGAACTGAAGGGTTGCCGCAGAGCGCCAACTGGTGTCGTCTTCCATGTCCTCCTCCGAGTTGTTGTGTTTGTCACTCAGGGCCACGTTCCCATTGATCACAGAGTTCTGAGTAATTCTTGGTGAATCATCTGTATCTCTAGCTTCCATCTCCATGTTCATGGGCTCACTCAGCTACTGCTCGCCTGCTTGCTGCTGCTGCTGCTGCTGCTGCTGCTGGTAATAGAAGTGATTCATTTCAGCCACTGCCTGGGCCTCACCTGTGGGGTGGCCTCCTCCACCTCCCGCGTGTCGTCGGTGGCAATTTCATTGATCTTTTCAAAGAACCAACTTTTGTTTTTGTTGGTTTTCTCTGTTGATTTTCTGTTTTCAATTTCATTGATTTTTGACTCTAATTCTTATTAGCTCTTTTGTTCTGCTTATTTGGTCTTCGTTTGCTAGTTTTCCAAGGTAAAAACAGATTATTCATTTTGGATCTTTCATCTTTTCTAATATCTACATTTAATGCTATGAATTTCCCTCTACACACTGCTTTCACCACATTCCACAAATTTTGATAAGTTATGCTTTTCTTTTGACTTAGTTAAATATGCTTTTAAGTTTCTCTTGAGATTTCTTCTTGACCCATGTGTTATGTAGAAGTGTGTGATTTAATGTTCATGTATTTTCAGATTTTTCAATTATCTTTCTGTCATTAATTTCTTTTTTTTTCCCATTTATTTATTTTATTGCATTTAAGGTTTTGGGGTACATGTGAAGAACATGCAAAATTGTTGCATAGGAACACATGTGGCAGTGTGATTTGCTGCCTTCCTCCCCATCACCTACATCTGGCATTTCTCCCCTTGCTATCTCTCCCCA